CTCACTGTATATAAAATCTGGTACCAGACTTGCATACAAAAATATCACTTTTGTACAGAAACACAGTCTTCATACATCCCTTTGGACAAATCTTTGCCACAGGTAGTGTGTATGCTTGCAGAATGGCTCTTAAAACCCTTTAAAAAGTTAGACCACAATAAGAAGTGCTCACTTATTAAATTCTGTAAATTATTTTCTGAAGTTAATAGTTCTGCTGGGATCAATAGGAATAATGGAATTAGGAAGTGGAAAAGAAAACGACATTATAAAAATTGTGAACATTTTTAATTGCAAGATTATTACATTATGTAAAAGTTCTGTAAAACCAGGCTCACCTGTAAATAAAATGCCTACCACAGAAAGTCCCAGTTGGATGTTTTTTACATCTCTGATGACAATGGTCCAATTTTATCTCTGCGTAACTTCACATAGCACAAGAGCCTGGTCTGAAGGCAAAAATGCCAGTTTGATAACTTTTTGAAGCATTAGACATATAAAGTTGACATTAAGCTGCTTTCCTTGGCAAAGGTACTTACTACATTGTACTGGAGATGTAATCCTCAAAACCTCTTTTAGAGATGTCATTTTTTATATACCAATCTCTTCAGAGTCTTAGAGAACACATACAAAAACCTTAACTTTACTATAACTGCTGGTTACTCTGAAAGCTGTCTTAAGTACTGTGTCCTGCCAGAAACACCGCACCACCCTTTTCTTTGACAAACTAAACACCAAGCTGAAAGAAAGGAAAGCCACGTTACCATCCACACAAGAACTGTACACAAGGCATAGTTAGAAAACAACGAAAAAGTTTTCAACTTCCAACACTGATCAAATCATAGGAATTGCCGAATTTAAACTCAACTAGTATTAACAACTTAATATATTATTAAAATACATATTACATAAAATTTTACAAGAACAAACCTGTATTATTTTATGTCTGTTTTAAGAAATTAATGTGTAATGCTCTCGAGAATGAAACTGTAGCACAAATAGCTCTGTGGATGAAACTTCTGCTTATTTAATCATTAAGACTGCCTGTAAATTTATTCCACACAGATTCCCACGCAGAAGCCTGCATCAATCTGCACTTTCCTGGCAGCTGAGTAAAGCTGTGCTTCCTTGTCTCTAAACTTACAATTCCCAGAACACATTGCAACACACCCTCTTAATGTTAAGTAATCCTCAGCTACCTATATTTTTACAAAGACAAAGATAGATTCTTCAAAAGTTCTTGAACCTTTACTCAAAACTCCTTCCTCTACCCCTCCTCTCACCCCCACAATTCCTATTTTTATGGTATATGGCTGAAACAGTGAACTAGTTTCTATAATTCTACCAGTGCAACCTTGCAATAAAAACACTGGCAGAGAAAAAAGTAATAAATCAAAGAGGGAAAACAACTTAGAAAAGTATTTGCCATGCTGGAGCACATTTTAGGGCCATAGGTGATCCATGCCGGCAGTGAGAAGAACAGCACAAACCACCTTTTGGTAATCATGAAAGAAACAAAGACAGTGATTAGAAATAAATTAAAATTGAAAAACACTCAACCAAAAAGCCTGAATTAAGAACATGCTGAGTGCCAGAGAGAACTCTGAGATACAGCATGTGTTACTGAGCTTTTTACGTTAGACAATTAAATGAAGCAATTAGATTTCAGAAAGTAGCCAATTATTTTAGGACTGAAACAAAGGCTGGAGGAAATACAGCTGCCTGTGTGTGGGGAATGGAGAAAAAGGAAAACAAAGCATTGCATTTGAAATATTCATGACAACCAATTTGTGTAAGAGGATTTTAATTAAAAGTCTAGAAAACTTCTTTTAACTCAGTAATGAAAATAATGCAATTTAAAAAAGAAACACCTTAATATGCAATATATAAAATTATCTTCAAACATCATAGGAAATGGCAAGCAAGTACTGAAAGGGACGTGACATGGAAAAATAATCCTCCAAAATGAAAATTCTCCTGTGATGACACTTTTTACTCTCAACACGTTTTGATGTGTTGTAACCAAAAGGAATAGGTTTTAGTAATTCCTCACAGGTAGATACTCTTGCAGAGTATCATAGAGAATTTGATAAAAGGGGTAATTAAGTTACTTGTCTTACGCATTCAAAGCTTTTAAGCGTGCGCTAACGCTTCAGTGCCGGTATATACTTCACAGAACACCGAAGCTTCTATCAATTTAACTTCTGAATGCATCCTCTGAAAGCCTGGACAGGTTTAGAATAAGCTATAAGCTGTGTTTTTAATTAATTATAAAATGAATACAACATCCTTACCACAGCAGAGGAAACAATTGGAAGGCACTAACTCACAGAAGGCTTTTCTCCCATGCATGTGCTGCACTGCGACTCAATTTTAGGCTCCTGAGGGCTGGCAGAGAATTTTTTTTCTTACACTTTCCCGAGTGACAGCATTCAAATGCTGCTCCTGCTAGGAAAACTATAGCCTTCTTAGTACTTCTGAGAAATTCAATGACAAAGCTTTTTGCCCTTTTTTTTTTGTTTGTTTGTTTTTTTGTAATGTTCCAAGAAGGACATTAGTAACATAATGCCTGCTTAGCACCACTCCTTGCTTTAAAAGCATCCTTAACATTTATCTTCTCCCAATTAGAGATCTCAGCATAGACAGCAGCCCCATAATATAAAAAACCAGTCCCATTTCTTTTAAGGAAGTATTATTTTAATGAAATGTGCACAAAATTATACAATATAAAACTTTAATTCAAGTTATAAAAATATTTATATTTGAGTCCAAAATACTTGTGTTGAAATTAAAACATTGCTAACTGGATCACAACACAGTTCCTTACAAATCATACCCTTTTCCCTTACCCCTCCCCCCAATAAAAAGTTTTTGTTCCCTTTGCTCCATTTTGTTCCATTTGCTTTTGTTCTCACATAATCAACTTTTTAATCACTAATAAAAAGTTTTTAATTGGCCCTGAGGTACTGCACAGATTGGTGCAGTCTAGGTCATTGCTTTCATACACAGCAAAACATCCACCATGTACAAATCCTTAAAGAAACAAGAGGTTTTTATCTTCTGAGGCAGAATATTTCTTGTAGCTGACGAGCGCTTGGCTACAACTAACAAGTTATTCCTACTGATTCTAAAAATATCCTATATGCAGTAGGCAGTATACTTCTTTTCATATTCCAGATAAATCTATCTTCTGTGAACCAGGAGACTTATTACAAGTGGATAAGAAAAACATGTTACTGGACAGATTGAACTTGGAACTGCTGCAGAGCTGTTTCACCACAAACATAACTCATCTTGCTAACTTGACTTCTACTCCACTCTAATCACAAAGATTGCTTAGAGGCACGATGGAAAAAAGTCTGAAGCAATCATTTTCTTTAAGTACTGTAGAACGAAGACTGTATCTATTAAACAAAAACCTCCAAAACACTTGATCTAGTCATTTAGCTGAAGTGCAGCGCTGTATCTGCTACTGGAAGTCTGGAATTGACAATCAATACTGACAAGCATTGGAGCCAGTACTTCGAGAACTGTACCCGCCCAAAAGGCAGACAAGTGGGAACTTCTGTATTACCCATTGCTCCTTTGCTTGGATACTATCACTGACATTTAGTATATTACGATTAGAAAAATTCTTGTAAGAATCATTAAGGAAAAACCTTAATGAAAAGATAAGTTCATACTACAGCAGTTTCCATTAACTACAATCAAGTATTCAAGTGTTACCATCTAAACTAGAGGCACCAACTGCAACAAAAACTTGAAAATTATCAGTGTCACACCATTTATGCAGAGTAGTGGTATATTATATGCTGACACCTGGCCTTCACAGTAATGGCACCATGTAAAAGAACTTGAAAGGAGCTAAAAGTCACACAGGTACACAAAAAGAAGCCTCTTCAAGTATCTATTTATGTAGTTAGAAGGATGTTTGCAGTAACAATCAATCCTACTCATTCAAGCAATAATGATTTCAGAGGACTTTCCCCGCCTTGCATAGGGGATAGTCCCCAGAGGCCTCTACAGCCCTGCATGTCTTGAAGCTTGTGCAATTTTTCCAGCCTTAGGTTCGGTGTGAAGGCCATTTTTTGAAGTCTGTTCCAAATTAAAGCTGAAAGCTGAATCTGGTCTCGTTCATAAACCCTCCTTCCTCTGCAAGTTGCTTGCAACCACATTCAAAAAATGTCAAGGAACAGGAATGAACTAGAAAATTGCAGAGGACTTGGAAGAGGTATTGGATCTGGAGCAACCTTTGAAGAGAACAAACTGTGGCGAAAGACAGCTGATCGTCACAGCATATCCCTAGAGAAAAGACTATACTATATATTTGCTCTCAGTAGGCCTTCACACCTCTCCGCTCAAAAGAAACCAATTTGTTTTCAAGGTTTTTGTTACAGTACAAAATTTTGTTACCAAGAGCACAGATAACTGCAGCTTACTTATGAGGTAAGCTGCAACTTCCAGCAGACATGACCAGACTCTGTGACGTAGGTTAGGAAAGGATTCCTAGTAAAGAATCTTAAAACATTCACAGCAGTAAAAAGAGGCTGCTGTAAACATCTGTGAGACACAATTTCTTTGATAGTTTCAGAAGAACACTTCCTTCAGTTTGATGAAGGCATCATTGATAGAGACATTTGTTTTCAACTAGTTCATTTTCAACCTAGGCACATTTTCTGCCACGAAAAAGCCATCATAATAGTAAATAGCCCTCTTGCACTGCAGTCTTGCACTACAGACTGAGTTACAGTCATCTTAGTATCCCTTTTTGGAGAGCAAATGTATTCAACAAATTATGGAAGGTATTATCTTCTGCTACTCAAAAAGAAAACCCAGTACACACCTAAGGAGTCTACTCCTTTCACACTAGTTATACTAGGCCACAAAAAAAATTAGAAAATATCTAAGCTCCCCACTTTTTTACAGTTTTTTACAGAAATTTTACAGTTGCCTCCAAAGTGTCCCACGGATATATTTCCAGAGAAAAGATATCTGCAAAGTACCTGCAGTAGAGCAAATCTTGTTTTCAGGTGAGTGGTAGAACAAAAGTGTGAGAATTTCTACAAAATGGAGTTTAGGTCTTCTAAAAGTTAAAATCTCTTAAAGGAATCATCAAACTACAAAGCATCACCTGAAAAGAATTTGGTTTTATGTTAATCTTCATCTGACCACAAATCAGCCTATTAAAGCACATAAATTAATGGCAGAATAAGTAACAGAACCAATGATATTGATCTTGGTTCAGAAGAGCAGAAGGCACTTTTACTTTTTTCATTCATAACCATGGGACATGAAAGTGTTTTTATATTGATTTCACTTGGTTCCAGTGTTCAGTAGCAAGAGCTTCTGTTCAACTCTGTCTGCCACCAAATTCATATTACAGTCCCGAAGAGCTTTTATTAAGTCAGCCACCTTTGCATCTTTTCCCTTCCATTTCTGCCACTCTCGAAGTGACTGAAACAACTGTTCACGCAAGTTAAATGGATTGGCTGCCAGTATTCTGTCCATTTTTACTTCAGAAAGGCCAAGTTTTCGTATCAGCATTTTCCAGTCTCTCCCGACATTTTCACATATGACTTCAATAGCTACCTTCTGAAGACCTGAAATAGCAGAAAAGTATCAAGTTAGTGATGGATTTACTAAGAAATGGGAGAAAATTTTTACAAGTTGTTTTTTCTGTTAGCAAAATGCTACCACTCTCGCTGCATCACACGTACTGAAAGTCACACCACGTTCTGAAAAGCTGCTGGATATACTCGGAATCCCAAGTACCTAGCACGATTTCCAACTGACCATTCAATAGAAAAAGGGAAAAAATTTCCACCCCAGAAAGCTGTCTGCAGCATAAGCCACCTCACGGTACTTTTCCAGGGTACGACGCAGTCCCTGCAGCAGTTAGTAGCAGAAGCACCCTCAGCAGTGGGCTCAGCTACAGGAGGCAACTGAGGGCAGCCGTGCTCCGTGTTTGCTCTAAGCATACCCACAGCTAGAGGATGCGTGCAGATTTGCTGGGGAGGGAGGGGAGGAATCAAAAAAATAATCTACCTACGTTTTTCATGCACATCGGGCTCGTCATCAGGATCATTAACTTCTCCTTCCTCTACGAACTGCTTTAGCTGTGAGAGCAAATCTTCTCTTTTAATGCTCTTAAGCAGGCCTTCAAGAAACGCCACCTTGTCGCTTGTAATCACCTGCTGCTCGAGAAGGATGGTGAAGAGCTCGCTGCCACTTCGGACAGCCTCCAGCTTCCTTTTCCCAATTTTCCCCCGGCAGAGAAACTTCAGGGAAGAAAGCTCATTGTCCGACAAGCTCGAGGAGAAAGAGTGCAGCAAAGTAAAAAACGGATCCATGGTGCCCAGGCCTCACACCGCAACCATCACCACCAGGCCCGGGGCGGGACACAAGCCGCGCGGTAAAGGGCTAGCGGAGCCCCCGTCTTCACCCTCCGGGGGCGGACTGAGGTCCTGTTTTCACACAGCGGCTTCCCGGGAGGCCAGAAAGAGCGGGGAGACCCGACCCGGCCCGGCCCCGGCACCGCCGCAATGGCGGAGGGCTGGCCCCGGCCCGCCGCCCGCCACAGCCTTGCCCGGAAGTCACGTGACGAGGGCGGCAGCGGCGCCAAGGTTCCCGCCCGCCCTAAGATGGCGGCGGCGCGAGCGGTTCTGTCAGGGTCGGTTCTGTCAGGGCCGGCCGCTGCTCTCGGCGCCGGTTAGCTTGGTGTTGGGAACCGTGCAGCGCTCAGAAGCCCTCGGAGGCGAACGGGCTTGTTTTGTGATGCCGAGTAGAAAACGTGTGTTGGAGCCGAGCTCGGCACGGCCGGTCTAACGCTGTGCAGGAGGAGCAGGGCCGGCTCCCGGCGCCTCAGCCTTGGCCGAGCCCTGAGTTGAGGGAGCCGTGGGTTCCCCGTTTAATACAGAATTAGTGGACTTCTTGTGAGCACCTGCACCTACAAGGGTTACTTTTTGGTTTTGGTTTGTGGGGTTTTTTTGCCAAAGGGGAAAACGAGAGGTACAAGGACGAAAGGACTCGCTCGACGAAGAGCAAGAAAGGCCACGTCGGAGCCCTGCTCCCAAAGAAACACTAGTGCCGTGGGGTTCCTCCATGGCGGCTGCCCAGGAAAACAGCCTCTGCCCTCTGTGCATGGCCTCGGCTGCCCCCGGAGACCCCCCCCCACCTTCTCCTGGAAACACAGGGCTTGCAGCCTGGGCTTTGTTCCTCACAAAGATTATTTGTGACATAAAATAACTCCTGACCTTTAAAAGGGAAGAAATAGGGCAAGTGTTAAGTCCCTGTATTTTAAAGGCAATTTTTATACAAGGTGAAAGGTTGTGAACTTCTCTTAAATGGGAAGGTTCAAGTTCATCCCATTATTTTGTAGGTCCCCAAAGTTCAGAAAAATCACAATGTTTTTTCTTCACAGCATGTGTAGGTAGTTCAGAGATTTCCTTGTTCCTTCTGTGAACACTGGGATGTTGATTCACCAAGCTACCCCATTACTAAATTGTTTCCAGTACAGCCTTTAATTTATTATTGTTGCAACACACAAATAGACCTATGGTCCTTGTCATAAAAAGATTGCTGTCTCAGATACCCGCACTTAAGCGTTATCATCTTCCGCATCTCCTTCTCCAGTCTCACATTCCAACGTGAGGAACAACTCCTACTCCCAAAATATTTCCAAAACTCCCACAGGCACAAGCCCTCCTTAGATAAAACCTCTAGATTTTCAGCATCCTGTTTCAGTCTGTTATGCAGAGCTAGGCTTACACATGGTCAAGAGAGCCAATATATGGAACTGGCTACACGCATGAAGCCCATCTGTGCAGCCACAGCAGTGGGCACAACGATATAAGAAAATACATATTTCATACTGAATACAAGATTTGTTTCCCATATAATCCTCCCACGTTATGTGAACATTGGGCAGCCTCGTCTCCTCCAAGTAAGCATTCCCTTAAAATAATTTCCTTTGCTACAGCATTAGCAATGTCTTCTTTGATTTTTAACCAGATAATCCTAAAATTCACAATAAATTTGGGACTTCCGTCAGCCTCCTTTCCCCTCCCACGCCTTATGTTCCTCATCGAGGAAAGATGTCGGGGTATCTAATCTGACATCCTTAAAAAGCAGCTAACCTACATATTACTCCCAGTCTCTCAGGTAAAATATTAAACCTGTTTAAAAAAAAATTTGTTTAGTCCCTAAATGCTGCAAATTGGAGGGAATGAACCTGTTGCAGGGTCTCATGGTAAAGTAAACAGCAAGAGGAACTGGCACTAAGAATTTGAGCTGGGATGTGTTGTGCCTGAGTTGAGAGATGTATTTTCTTTCTGCAGGCCTGAACATACTTTAAACTGAAGGAAAGAACATTAATAAAAAGGGTAGTGTGATGCCAAGGAGAAATATATTTGCAGTGTGTGGATTAATTTAGAAAGCAGATGTAAGCCCTAGTAACATTACAAGAAGTATAAGATCCAGTTAAATAACATCTCATTTTAATTTTGCCAAGGAAGATATAACTACAAAATAGGAGGACCCAAATCACATGATGCATAGTTTGTGCCTGGTGATGGCAGCTGGCTGAATTCAGAGACAAGGCTACGTGAGGAAAGTCTAAATCAGTGTAATTTATACCTTTATTCTCTATCCCTTGACATGCAATTGAAAGCAACAGCAACTGAGATTTTAATAGGTTCATAGGAATTTAGCGGCCAGATTCAGCACTGATGTACAAGGAGGTGTGAAAGCAATTCCATACATTAGTGTAATTCTAAGGGAGTCTAAATTAGTAACAAACATGGAACTAAAAGATACAAATCATCATTTAATTAAGATATAAATCATCGCTTAAATGCTTTTAAACTCACTCAATGCCTGGCATAGTGATTTAGTAGTTCCTTTTATTATGTCTGAATCTGACCCATTAACTCTACTTTGACACATTCACAGATGAAAATACCCAAGCAACTTGCTTTCCTCCAGTTATTTCCTTTGAAAGCGGTTCATGGGACTTCAGCAAAGAAAGTATTTGCCAAGGTCAACAGATTATAACCGCTCCACATCTGAATAAAACTTAATAGAAATGATTTATTAGACTAGCTCAGATTTCAGTGGTAAGTTTCTCAGAAATTTAAGTGCTATGAATGATCCAGTTCCTAACCAAATAATTTAGAGGTTTCTTGAGGCAAGACGATTCCTTACAAAATACTGCAGAGGGAGCTCGAAGCCTGGGAGTGTTTCAACCTGAGCATTTCGACTTTATGGTCTTTGCTGGAGGAGCAGGGCAAAGAGAGAAAAAACCGATTCATTTCTGCCGGGCCTTCAGTGAGGAGTTGCTCACCAGGCCATTCAGGCAACAAACACCCATTTAGAGACTGTGGACACGAAACGGCGAAGCCCGTGGCTGCCTTTTGTGAGGCCTGTGCGCCGTCACGTTATGTGAATAGACGTGGGGTGGCTGAAAGTTTGCTTGAGAGGGTTCATGACTTACTAAACAGCTGCTTTAAAAAGCGGTATATTAATCCACATGCCCTGAATAGTAAACGTTTTGGTAAAATGTATGTGGCTGTACTGAACCACAGGTGACTGAGATGAGTTTGCCTGGAAACTTTGGAAGATGCTTTGTGTTTTCCAGCCAAGGCAACCTACATTTCTGGCTGGCCCATCTTCTTTGCTCTAGCATCGTACTCTGATCTGCTGTGGGGCTGTGGAAATGTCTGACAGTTTCTGCAGGTGCTGCAATCTCTCTGATGTAATCTGATTTGCTATTAGCGCTCATTAACAAGTATACGAGTTGCTGAGTCCACCTTTGATGACTGTTTTCTCTATTACTGTCAAGCAACTTACTCTTGATATGACAAATAGCTTTCTGTAAATATTAATAGCTTGCCTCCTCTTTTCAGCCAGCCCCTTTTCTCTAACAAGGGATGTGCTTGCAGCCTGCTGTTGACACACTAGTACTAGTTTCAATCTAGCGATTTCAGATGCTGATTGCAACATAGCTACTCCAGCACAGTTCATGGCACGCTCAAATCAGAGATGGTAACACAGATATTCAAAGAAACTCTACATTGGTAGAGTTTCTGGTGTTAATACATGTATTCTTCTTCTTTGCTTTTGTTCTAAGCTACATACCTACTGCTTGTACATACTTTGCTTACCTTTGATAAGTTTTAAAGCTCAAATCGCTGCTGTTAGTCAGTCCTGTTGCATGAGGTAAAGCTCTGCTCCTGGGTTTGTAAGGTGCAAAGATGTGCTCCTGTAGGATTTCCTGCATGGTTTTACAGAGCAGAGAGACGTGACTCAATGGATCAGGACTGTATCTTGACAGACTTGATGGTGTAGTTGCTTTAAATAATATGTGGGATGAAGAGATAGTCAATACTTATCTTCAGAGGCAGGAGCTGGAATCAAGTCAAGGAGAGCTTGCTGGTCTGCTGCTGTTTCTTTACAAGCTGCTTAATGGTACTTATTAAATTGGCTGTGCTGATTGTCCAGGGGAAGGTAGAATTGCCAAAGGGGTATTTTTTTTTCTTTTTTTAGCAAGGGGAAGGAAAAAGGGGAATATTCATACAGTGGAGGTGGCATCAAAATTCAAAGCATTCCATTGTGATAAAAGAAATCTATATGCTGATGCACACCCTGCAGGTGGAAGGCACGGTGCTTTCAAAAGCCCCATAGCTAGAGAGGGGCGTACTCTTGCCTTTTTGAGGGAGTAATGAGAAACATGGTGGGATACAGTTTCTAGTTGCCTGAGACCATAGGAACTGGAGTATTTAGGAGGTACAGTGTTTTTAAATGAAGCAGCTTTGATAACTTTTGTAACTTATCAGGGAATTCAATCGCAAATAACCCAGGGTGAATTTAAAATTCTCATCCCTGACAGTTCTGAGACACAGGTTGGACAAACTTCTTGGCATAGACTAAATATATTTAATCCTGTCTCAGTGCTGAGAAATTGTTTCTCTTTTGAGGTCCAGTCAGTTGTACACTTCTTTTATTATAACTGCCATTCTCTCTCAAGGGAATTAGGAGCATCTCAGTTTTACTTTGTTGTCTTCAAGATAAGAGCAGTATTAAAAAAATGCAAACCCCTCCCTGCTATCTGAATTGGGCAATAACAGGTTTTTTGTTTGCTTGCTTTTTTACTCCCACGGTGAATAAACTGATTTCCATAAAATTTCTTAATGTACTTATTCAATGCCTCTCATTTGTTGTTTGCAAAATCCTACAATGTACATTTTCAGAAAAGACAAGACAGTTTCTGCATTTTCTTTTTGAATGAATTGATCTGTCCATGTTTCTTTTGTCAGATACTACCTCTCTGTTGCTATAACATCTAGTGTAGAAAGAAGTGCTCTAGTGAAGAAACTATTTGTGAAGAGACTTAGGATCCTAGGAGAAAACTGTCTGTGACAAAAAGGCCTATAAGAAATGTCAAATTATTGTGGGTTGAAAGAGAGAAAATTAGAAGCAGAGTGTGGGAAAAGTAAATAAGTATTGAAAAGAAAGTGAACTCCAGCATGAATAGGTTGTA